CAGGGGAAGAGAGGCAACGGCACAGCTCCCGGCCTGTCAGCTGCAATATTTTTCTAGATGAAACCACGTATCTAGCATTCCCGATGTGTTTTTTCTCTGTAGTTTGTGGCTGGCATTAAAGCATTGTGCCCAAGGTGTGCTGCAGTGAGAGCTCTGTTTCCTTTACTGACCTTTGTTTTCAGGCACTTGGGAATCTATGTTTAGAACATTGAGGAACAGTTGAGGATTTTCCTTTTCGTTTCTTCCTTTTTTTTTTTCTTTCTTCCAAGCCCAGGGTGGTGCTGGCGGAGCAGAGCTGCTGCACAGGGCTTGTAAAGGAGCACTGCCCTCCCTGTCACTGTGTTAATGGAGGTAGAGCAGGACAGGCAGGCACACACACACAGTATGGCTTCAGCATGCTGGCTGGATGGCTGACTGTGGAACAGGTGCTTGCACTGCTTTGCTGGACCTGCTGCCTCTGCTAGTTGCTGTTAGTGGATGCATGGACTCGTGGAACTTGGTGCCTGCACGGCTCTGTCTCATTTCTTGTTGTGCTTAGCAGAGTGACTGCACATCTGGTCTGTTATCTTTCAGAACATCTGTGGAATATCCAAAGGAAAGCAAAGTGAGGGAGGGGATGTGTGACCCAGAGAGCTGCTGGGATGGCAGAGCAGGGTGGTGTGTGTGCATCGGTCTGTGTGCTTGCAGTGTGAGAAGCACAGAATCATAGAATGGCCTGGGTTGAAAAGGACCACAACGATCATCTTGTTCCAACCCCCTGTTATATGCAGGTCGCCAACCAGCAGCCCAGGCTGCCCAGAGCCACATCCAGCCTGGCCTTGAATGCCTGCAGGGATGGGGCATCCACAGCCTCCTTGGGCAGCCTGTTCCAGTGCCTCACCACCCTGTGATTGAAAAACTTCCTTCTGAGGCTGTGGGCGATGCCTTGCCAGTGGCTTTTGAGGAATCTCCTGGAAGTTTGTGCTGCAGGGCACCTGCAGTGTTCTGACTTGGATGGTGCAAGTGCTCACTCATTAGCTGAAACCCAACAGGATTAATTGTGGAGATGGCTGCAACGTAAGCTGCTGTGTTTAAGCTGATAAAGGTTCCTGTGCTTGGTGAGGTTGTTGGTGTTTTTTTAAAGCAGAAGATCTTTCAATCTGCGTATGCCAGCTCTAATTTTAAAAGCAGCTTTTAGTGTGGGGAATATTAAAGTAACCCTTCAGAACCAGGGCACATCTGGTGAGTGTCACAAGCCCAAAGGCGTAATGACTCCCTGCCATGTGTCACAGAAATCCTTTGCCTCCAGTGGGAGGTTTTACACAGCATAGGATAGAAAGCAAATGGAGACAGACAGTGAGACCCACTGGCTGTGCAGGAAACATGGGATTTCTTGCTCTCTCTTGTCCTTGCAGTGGGGAAGGCAGTGTTTGTTGGCAAATCAGTGGTCGTGGGATTATGTACTGCTGTTGAGAAACCTCTGTGGACATGCCACTCAAGTGTGTTCAAATGCAGAAATGTATAGAAAGGTGTTTATAGTCAGATTGGGTTTTGTTGGGCTTTATGAAGTGGAAAGCACTGAATGTTATTAGGGGCAAATATTGACAGTATGCATCTGAAATATACCAATGTTGTGAATCCCGCTCTAGAATGAGAGGTGTTGAGATAACTGATTTCAAGTCTTTCAGATTCTTCTCTTGAAAAATGGGGCACTGAGGTTGTAAGAGATGCTCAGGCTGCTTTGGGTTTGGGCAGTAGTGCTGGCAGTTGGCTGATGTGATCCATTCTGTGCACAAGCTGCAGCTGTTTGGAGCTCAGGTGTTATACAACCTGTGGTCAGTGGAGCAGAGGTGATGCAGCACGTGGCAGTGCAGTCATGGAGCAGCTGACCCATGTGAGGTGCTTTGTGGGCATCAGCCTTAGCCATGTGGATTTGTTGCCTTTAGGAAACGATGCCCAGCTTTCCTTTGTCACCTGGTCCACGGAGCTCTTCTTCAAAATGATGTATTTGTGGTTTGGATCTCTGGTAAATGCAAGTAATTGCATTTTATGGTGAGCTTTGAGTGGCTAATGCGGACACATCCATAACTGTTCCCCTTCTGGCGCTCTTCCAGCTTCTATCTTTTGTAGCGTTGCTTTACACCTGAATTAACTTGTTCTCTTATCTGCACAGCCTGGATTGCTTTGCAGGCATCTGAATGGGATGTCATCTTTGTTTCTGCTGCTGGCGGGCAGCCAGGTGTGCTTCTCTTCCTTGAACTCATGAGTCAGGGTTTGCTCTGCCCGTGGTTGCTGCCAGGTTGTGTTCCTTGGCTTTGTGGGGCCGTTGCAAAGCGATGCTTCTCCCTGCTCAGCGTGCTGCCTGGCAGCATCTGGAGTACAAGGCCTGCAGGGCTGATATTAAAGAAAAACAGGGTCACAGAATTTTCTTTTATCTGCCATCTTCTAGTTCTTTACCCCGGTGAATGCAGCAGAATTTCCTACAAAGGAGTGAGAATCCATTCCGCCGCACAGCCGAATCTCTCGCTGGTTGGAGCCAGCAGGGCTTTGCGTGCAAAGCGGTCAGCTGGGGAGTGCTGGGTGGCAAAGTGCTGCAGGGGTGATGTGACCCTGGGGCTGCCAGCAGTGGAGAAGCTGAGCTGAAGCATACAGGGTCAGTACGAAGAGGCACGGAAGCTGTGTTTGGTCTCAGCTTCCAGGAGGCTGTGAGGCTCTGTGGGAACTGGAGGATTTGGGGTAAAAAGTACTATGTGAGTTATGAGTCAAGCAGCTTACAGTTCTTCTGGTGTTGATGGTTGATTACATATATGATATTTGAAGCTTTTAAAATGCACATATGCATGCTGTTGCAACAGCTGCTACTATCCTAGCTTGAAAATATGGAGCTTGAAATTGGTCATTTGGGAGAGGCAAATTTTGCTCTATCTGAATGGGTGTAATTCTGCATAATTGTACAGAGACACTGGAGGTTGTTGTTTAAAAATGTTTGTAATTCTCCTATTAAAAATAAAAAACCCTCAAAATTTTAGTGCATTTAGCATCCACAGAGTTGCTGTTTCTTTAGAGACTCTTGCTGTTAGATGTTTGGTTTGTCAAACTGCAGATGGTGAAAAGCAGCAGCACAAACGTGAAGTTGGCCTGCTTGAGAGTGATGGAGAGTGCTGGAGCTGCAAGGTGTGTGTCCTCTGTGGCTGACACTGGTGCAATGAAGTAATCCAGTTCCTAATCCTGTATCTTTGATTCTTCCTGGAAAATAAGCAATATATTTCCAGCTTAAAAAAGCAACCCATTTTGTCAAGCTCATTTAACTTTATTAAGTGCTGCTGTGAAATGATGAGCAGAGCGTTTGTTGATGGATGGAAGCTGGCTGGGTGAAGAAGCCCATCGAATGGTGTTGTGTGCAGGAATTTGGCACTTGCAGGTTTGCTTTGCTGCTGCCGTGGCTGAGATGGGCAGTGGGGATTGGTTGCTGGAGGGAGGAGAGGAGGATGCTCTCGTGTGGTCTGGGTGCTTGCACACACATCTCTGTGCTTGTGTGAGATGAGATCTCTTCTGGGAACTTGTGCTCCGTGTCTTTAGGCTTTTTAATTCAAGGAATTGCCTACCACTAAATAGTAGTTGTGTTAAGGGGATTTTCTTTTGAAGAACAGGAAGGCCTGGGTAACCTTTTCCCATTTCTCTGGTAAAAGCCTGAGCTATTTGAGCTGTCGCAGCAGGGGTTGGGTGACAGCTGAAGTGATTGCTTTTAGCTGTTTGCTGCCTCTCTGGGGATGGGGCTGAGGCAAGCTGGGGCTGTCAGCGAGGAGCTCCTTGCAGTGCAGAAATCAAGGTGACCTTCTGCCTGGCTTTGATGCTCATGTGCTCTGACACCAACCTGATTTGTAACCTCCTGCAGACCAGCATCTCTCCAGGGCAGCATGGAAAGCCTGGGTCAGTAAAACCGAAACGCCTCTGTGTTGCAATTCCTTCCACTGGGTGTGCAAACTGAGCTGTCCCAGATTTGCATTGAGGCTGAGAATTGAGGAAGGTGAAGATACAGAAAGGGATGAGGAAGGAAAAATCCATGCGCAGATGTGAAGTGAGCGGTAAGAAGCCGGAGCCATTTCATGCTCTTCCTCCTGGTCCTGCCTCTGTGGCAGAAATGGGTGTCTGTGGTTTAAGCAGAATTTCCAGGGTTTTCCAGGGTGTGAAGCAGGGTGTTAGCTGTGCTTCCAAATGCATCTTCTGACACTCTAAGACTTGGATGTTTCTCTCTAGAAATATTGAGGTTCAGGGGGACTCCCTCACAGAACAGCTGGGGTTCTTTGTGCCTTCTGAGGGCACCAGGGCTGTCCTTGGGTAGCTGCTTGGCTGGAGGAGCATGGATTTCTCAGGTTGTTATCCTTAATCAGGCAGTTCTTTCTCCTCTGTGGGTAGTTTCATTCTGAAACTGCTTCTGGAGCAGTTATTGCTGAAGCCTTTTTAAATACCTTATTTTGCAGCAACCTTGTAGGGTGTCTGGTTGTCAAAAGCAAGCCAAAATAATGACTCTCTTTCTGTCATGTCAAATGTAATTGGAGAAAGCACAGCTCTTCCCCGAGGTAAACCTAATTCAGTGTGCTGCGTTTCATCTGCGATGGGTTGCCTGGGTTTTCTTTACAATTAGAGAAAATACGTTGGTGCAGGGTCCTTAATACCAGGTTAACCACAAAAGATTTGATTAGTTTCCCATCTTACTTTGGTTCATAGGCTGTGACGTGGTCATTTTATTAACCAGGTTCAGAACGGGCCTCGTATGACTTCCTTTTGTTTTCCTAGCAAAATGTCTGCTCGAATCAAAATGATGCAGCTAATTCCCTTATTTATCATCATAAAGCATCTACTTTCTATTTATGGATCACACTTGGAATAAATTATGTTATGCAAATGAAATGGTGGCTCTTTCCAAGCGTAGGCTGTTTTTAATTTATCCTGTTTTCATGTCCTTTCTTTGAGGTACAGAAGTTAATTTCCATTATTTTAAAATCTTGTTTTTTTTAAAGATTGCGTATATATTGAAAGCCGCCGGCCGAATACGCCGTATTTCATCTGCAGCATTCAAGACTTCAAACTGGTAAGAAACATTTTCACATCTCCTCCTCCTCCTCCTTTTCCCCACCCCTTCTGCAGTGAGGTGCAGTGCCTGGTGGTCCGTGCCTCGTCCCATAGCTCCTCAGCCATCCCACTAGCTGCTCAAAGTCATCCTGCTGCTCAGGCTGAGGTCTGTGCAGCTGTAGTTAATCAGGCTGTAGAGTTCAGGTTGTGCTCTGCTTCGTGATGAGGGTTTGTAACTCATGGGAGATCCAGCTCTGCTGGTGGGAGCAGCGGTTGGGATGGGGCAGCAGTGGCTGCTGGTGGGTTTGGGGGAGCAGAGGCTGTGCTGAGCTGTCTGTACCGTCAGTGTGTGGCCTGCAGCTCGATGTCCCACTGCCTTGCCTTCAGAGCTCAGCCCTGCTCGGACAGCATTACCAGATCCCTTTGTGTGGGGATGGAATTATGAAGCAATGGTTTGTGTTCTGGGCAGGTCTTGCTGAGTTGCAGTTCCCCGGGGTGTTAACAGCAGCAAAAGCTGAAGTTTCTGCTTGTTGCTATTGGTCTAATGCAGCATTACAGCTGTTTGCAGAGCCGTGTGGGCACGTTGCACCATGTTTTAGTTTTCAGTATGCAAAGGATATGACATCAGCGTTGCTGGCAATTTTGTGCATTTTCACATGGAAATAGTGTCATTCCTTTGTTTTCCTTTGCCTACTCCAGTTTTTTTAATTTTCCTGCTGGGTTTTTCTTACTGACATAATATGTAAAAAAGATCTTGTAGAAATGATAAAACTGGAAGAAAAAAAAGAACAAAAAGCCACCAAAGCCCTTTGATGCTGATGGTGCTTGCAGAGATGAGTCTTCAGTGCATTTGCCACTGTTGATTTTACTGCTGGGGAGAGGAAAGATGTACAGTGGAAAGGACACTTGATGTCTCCTCTGTTGGTGCCAGATAGCAACAGGAACACAGCCCTGTTTTGCCTTCAGCTCAGCGTGTCAAGTGGAGCAGGGAAGAAAAAGTCAACAGCTTTGAAATGTCGCCTGCTAATTAAGTATATTATCATTTGGGTTATGGTAAAGCAGAAGATTTTGGCTGTGTGTACGACTCAGCCTCCCCTTCCTATTGCTCTACACGCTGTTCAGGTGCAAAAGTGGATTTTTACATGTTTTTTCCCCGCTTAGGAGGAATGTAAGCTTGCATTTTAAAAGGAAAAGGTGTGATAGTCGAATTTTCAAGGTTCTTTTGTTGTTCAGAACAGTGTGATGTGAAAGGTTCTGCAGGCTACAAACTAACGTGCCCTTAGGGGAGCTTTCATTTGTCTTTTTTGGGTGGAAGATGACACAGCAGGTACAAATCCACTTGCTTTTACTTAGCTTTGCCACTCCATGACAATTGCTGTGAAAAGCTCCCCTTCTGAATATACAGATCCTTTCTAGCTCAGTCTTACTTCAGGATCCAAGCAAACCCTGTGTTTGTTTAGGAATCAAGCAAAGGGAGTCAGGAGTGAGGTAACAGTGTTCTGAAGGTAAAATGTCTTGGGTCTGTGCTGCTATTTTCATCTGCATGAACTTTGCTTTATATGGTATACAGGAGCTGGGGGGAGAGAACTGGTGTGAACGTTGCAGCTTCTGGCTGCATGCTGAGATCTGAGTGCTGGGTTCAGAAAGCAGCAGCCCGGTGCAGGGGCCTTTTGGCTTTAGAAGTTGTAGGATGTGGGGATGAATGGGGGAAGGGTGGCAGGGAAAACGTGGATATTTGTCTGTCTTCATTTTCTGGTCAAATAACAAGAGTAAGCTTGGTCCAGTTTCTCTTGAGCCCTATGTCTGTCCTTATTCCATTCGACCAAGAGATTAAAATCTCTTTTCTTAGGTCATATTTCTCAGCTTTTGCCTTCTAATCCATTTTGCCTTTGTATGATTAAGAATTTGCTTGCATTTCCTGCATCGCTGGTGGGCTGCATCGATAGCAACCTTCAGTGGCTGCATGGATTTCGACAGACTTTGCATTTGTTCCATGAGGCAGCATCTCCAGAAGGTTGCCACCATCTCTCAGATGCTGTGCTGGGGACAGTGATGCAGGTGCAGAGGTGTGGTGGTCATGGCAAAGCATGCCTGTGGTAGAAGGGCATTCTCTAGGAAGCCTGTGAGCTCTTTGACAGTCAGCAGAACCCAGCATAAAAGGGAATGTTATTGATTGTTCTGTAGAGGCCAAGAACGCTGCCAAGCCCTCTGCAGCCTGATCTGAACCAGATCTAGTTGGCAGAGCTTCCTCTGAGCAGATCTATTAAGTTCCAGAGAGGCACAGATCTAATACAGTGCAGTAATAGAGCTGCAGGAGGAGGGGGGAAAAAAAGTGCAGGTTTCCAGACAGTATTATTACTTGAACTTTTTTTTTTTCACTCTACCAGATGTCTTTACTAATGGGCTTTTTTGTTAATTTAGCTTTGAGGTAGCACTGGTTTCAGTGTGATTTAAGCTTCATGCTGGGGATGCTCGAGTTTGTGCCTAGCAGTGCTGTGCATTGCTGACAGCGCAGCCCTTGGGTGCTGAGAGCTTGCCAACCCGTGTGACCTCACGTTGGACTGAAAGCTTTGCTCCTGCTGCTGCACCTTGTGCTGGGTGGGTAACTGGGTTCAGCAGAAGGGGAACAGCAGGAGAAGGGCCAGCAGGTTGGTCAGCAGCAGCCACCCATGGCTGTGCCCCTCAGCCAGCACGGAGCGGCTGCTGGCGCTGCTAACGAGCTGCCTGCATCTGTGCCACAGGCTAATGCTCCTTGCCCTCTGCTAGTAATAGTGATGATAAATCTGCTCTCTAATCCTGTCCTGTTTAAACCTTTCTTGATATGAATTTCCAGCGTTTGATAAATGAGCCCGGATTTCCTTTTTCAGGTTTTCCTTTTTTCCTCCGAGAGCCCAACCGGCAAATGGGTTTTAGCAGCATGCTTCTGATTTATCATGTTTCAACTTAATTTGGTGTCACATTTAAAATGCTAATGGGCTCCACTTTGAATCTGAGCATCAGAGAGAAACTTGCGGTGCTTTTAAAACGGAAAAATGGTGAATTTGCCTTATGAAAGAAAACATTATTATTTGTGATGCAGTTGCCCTTTGTGCCTGTGTGTTTACTTGATTGAAGCATCTTGACGGCGCTGCTTTCTCCTTGAAGCCTGATTTGAATGGAGCGTGCAGCTGGATTGCCCCAGGGCCTTGTAGCAATTTATAGTCGGGATGGAAAGGCAGAAGTGCATAAAAAGACAGTTGTGAAGAGCCGCTAGTGCCCTGTAATAGAAAATCTGTGTATGATGACCTTGTCTGTGAGGGCCTCTGGGATCGTTTTACTGTGATCCAAAGGGTTATAAAATGGAAAGGATTGCATCTCACCGGGAATAGAGAGGAAAGAAGAAAAGAAATCTGTTTTTCTAAATTATGCTGTGTGTGCTTCCTCTCCTTTGTATTCTTCCTACATCCAGCCCCGAGTGTTAGTAGCGGTTACGGCGGGGATCTGGCACTCTCTGTGCTTGTATAGGCGCTGATGCTTTGAATGCAAATATCTGGGTGAGGATGCTGTAGCCACAAGCGTTGATGTATTTAAAAGCCTCGCTCTGTTTGTAGATGAATTGATGTTCTGTTCCCGAACCACGGCTGAATTAATTTGCGGCTAATTTTTCCTGGCCGGTTACGAGGTGGCCTGACCTTTTTCATTTTGGTGTGGAAAAAAACTGCTGATGAATACAGATTCTGCCTTCTCCAGGTGGGTCTCCCCTTTGCAGCTGGGACCGGCTGAAAGATGTCCTTTCTCCCCCAGTTCCCATCCTGCGCTCACCCTGGGCGCTGCAGGGCACCGGGCTGCGCGCTGCCGGGAGGCGGACGGATGGGTGAGACGTTTGAAGGAGCACTGAATTATTTAAGCTCCAGAATTTAGACTGCAAATGAGATTGGCTGTTAGGTCTAATGTGGAGCAGATTGAAATGCTGCTGTGATTACAGAGGGGCACGCGTGGGGCAGGAGATTAGTATGAAAATGTGGGCGTGGGGGGCTCGGAGGGGAGCAGCGAGGAATGATGGAGAATCAGAGGTGACAGTTTAAGGATTGCATGGCAGGAGCTGCACGGTGATTAAATTCACTGATGCTGTCATTGAGCTGTAAGGCTGAAGATAACATTCTCTCCCTGTGCTGAAAACAAGAATCAATACAAACTCCTTGACAGGAGCTAAATTATTAAATAGAGCCTTTCTTGCAATGTTTCATTATCTGGGATTTACCTCAGCTGGTGATTTGTCAGCGGAGCGGGGAGATTTGCTGGGCATTTTGTATTTAAATCATTCCAGATGCATATGAATCCATTTTGATAATTCCCTTCCCTTTTAAAATGCTCCTCGATAGATTTGTGATTCGCTTTTGCCCAGATGACACTTGGGATTTTTGCACAGATTGGAGCTGTGCAGTGCAGTAGGGTGAGGGCTCCTCACATCCTGGTAACAAAAAGTGTGTGTGTAGCATCAGGCTGTTCTTAAGTGCCGAATTGATTTGCTTGCCTTTGGGGTGTTAAATTAGCAAGCTGTTGGGAATGCCTTTCAGCTGGGGTTGAGCTGTAGAAAGAAGAGGGAGGCTGCTCTGGGTTTGGGGGTTAATGTGCACTGAACTTGATAGAAAAATAAAGCAGCGTTCTTGCTCCTGTTGTCTGCTTTCTGAAGGCAGGGCAGAGCCTGGCTCTCCTGCAGGAGCTGAGCCAGCATGTCTTGGGCTGCAGAGCTGCTCACAGAGCTGTGCTGTGCTGGCAGCCATCTCTGTCTCCATCCATGGCATTATATTGTCAAGTCAAGAGGATTTTTGAGGATTTTTGGGGGTTTTCTGTTGTGTTGTTTTTTTTCCTGCATAGATTTCACAATGCAGTGCCCCACTGCAACCGGATTCATTTCCTGTGGAGTGGTGTCCTGTGTCACAACAGCATCATTGCCTTTTGGAAGGGGAGACAGCGTTCACGTTTGGGGTTTCGGGCAGATGGGAACACTGTTGAGAACAAGGATTAAACAGCTGGGAG